CCCCTGCCGCCCCCTCTCCCGCGCCAATCCTCTGAAAAAAAAACGTCTAGTACAGACTCGGGACCCTCCTACCCGGTGGCGTCCCTCTACGGAGTGAGGCCCACCGCTCGGGAGGTAGGAGGGGAACGAAGGGGGGGAGATACGGTGGGCCTGTCTCATCAAAATCCCCCCTCAGCCAGCGCGCGGACCGTTTTAACGGTTTTCTGAACCTACCGGCAGTCTGACTCCTCAGAAAGATAAGCGGAGCTACAGTCGAGGACTCACCACACATTAAATGGCGGACATGGCCATAGCGGGGTCACAAAACTGCCAGATGCATGTAAATGCGAAGGACCCTCATACACCACTGTAGCAGTTAACATGACTGACTTCAGGATCCATGTCACCGGCAGCTGTGGGGCCTTACCTGACTTCCAAGACCGTTCCGGACAGGAGTCACAAAATGGAGACACTCAGAGTTCGATAGTCCTCGATCCCCGCCTGACTGAGAGCGGACTCCAATAGCAATGATACGTGATCATAGCGTGGTGCGTCATGGCGTGGTGCGTGATCATAGCGTGGTGCGTGACCCTAGGATATACATGAGCCACAGTGATTGGGTAGCAGCAGGGTTCACACGAGTGCCCGGCTTTGCCTGTGCTGAGATGGTAGAAGCCACGTAACTGCTGAGTTAAAATCTGCAGAGTTCCGTAGCCCACAATCCTCACATGGTAGAGATGGCTGAGCCTGACATGTGACCATAGGGGCATACATGTCCATACCATGCGTGATCATAGCGTGCCACCGTGATCATAGCGTGGTGCGTGATCATAGCGTGGTACGTGATCATAGCGTGGTGCGTCATGGCGTGGTGCGTGATCATAGCGTGGGGCGTCATGGCGTGGTGCGTGATCATAGCGTGGGGCGTGATCATAGTGTGGTACGTGATCATAGCATGGGGCGTGATCATAGTGTGTCACGTGATCACAGCGTGGTGCGTGATAGCGTGGTGCGTGATAGCGTGGTGCGTGATCATAGCGTGGTGCGTGACCCTAGGATATACATGAGCCACAGTGATTGGGTAGCAGCAGGGTTCACACGAGTGCCCGGCTTTGCCTGTGCTGAGATGGTAGAAGCCACGTAACTGCTGAGTTAAAATCTGCAGAGTTCCGTAGCCCACAATCCTCACATGGTAGAGATGGCTGAGCCTGACATGTGACCATAGGGGCATACATGTCCATACCAT